GGTTCTGGAATATACTCCTGTCTTTGTTCTCCCTGGGAGGAGCGAGGGGGGTCGGGGAGGGGGGAATCATGCAAAATACAAAATAAAGACACAACTTACCAACGTACCAAATAAACCCATACTTGGACACATCTTATGCATCGGGGTTCCATGTTCAAGTCACAGACTTTGGGAGAGGAACAAAAACCTGCCCGTCAGGATCCTTGGGTGGCACTTACGGCTCAACCTCATGTGGGGTGCAGCCTCTCTGGGGGCTGTTTCTTCATTTATAAAATGGAAATAGGGCTGGAGAGAGGGCTCAGTGGGTCAGAGCATTTGCTCTTTCTTGCAGAGGACCTGGGTTCAGTTCCCAGCATCCACATGGGGGCTCACGATCACATGTAACTCCAGTTCCAAGGGACCCAATGCTCTCTTCCGGCCTACATGGGCACCAGACATGCATGCATGCGTATTCATACATGCAGGCAGACTCTCATACACACAGAGTAAAAAACAAATGAATCTTTAAAATGGAAACAGCCATCTACATCTTAGTTTCTTGTTTTTATGGGGCAAAAGGAAGAATCGCTGAGCATGGTAGAACTTTCCTATAATCCCAACACTTGGGAGGTCAAGGCTACACAACAAGACTCAATTAAAAGAATTAAAAACACAAGCTCCAAGCACATGCAGAGTTCACCCAGTGCACGGTTCCTGTCCTGCTCTCTATCCCCCCAGCCCTTTGACTTAACCTCACTGAGGCACCCCATTTTCTCTTCCGTGACGTGTGACCCCACAACTACAACAATAGCAATGTCAGCTGCAGGCTCATCCAACTATCAGTGATCCAAAAGACATCAATCACGCCACGCCTTCCACTTCCAGCACGGACTGGGCCAGCTGCCTTGCCCTGCACCCCGACGAGGCTGACTCCACCTATAGTGAGGCTTTGAATGGAAAGAGGGCACCCCCCCCGTTTCTCCTGTGGTGTGTCCTTTCTTAGGAACCCCAGTGTGGTCAACAACAAATATGGAAATCAACACAAGTGTCCACGAGACAGGCCACTGGCCATGAACAAGCATTGGTCATGCCCTCACATGGCTTCACTCCCTCCCTACCCCGGGACTGGCTAGGGTGGCATTAGCACTGATATATATATATATATATATTCATGCCCGAGTCTGGGGTCCTCTGTGCCAGTCCCTTGTTCTGGGGCAGAGACTATATGGAATTCTACACCCATGCTGGAAACCAAGGAGGGCAAACTCTGGGTGACCCTCGGGGTCTCTGGCTCAAAGCTGACATTAAATTAGCCAAGGCCGGCCGGGCGTTGGTGGCGCACGCCTTCAATCCCAGCACTTGGGAGGCAGAGGCAGGTGGATCTCTGTGAGTTCGAGGCCAGCCTGGTCTACAGAGTGAGTTCCAGGACAGCCTCCAAAGCCACAGAGAAACCTTGTCTCACAAAACCAAAAAAAAAAAAAAAAAAAAAAAAATTAGCCAAGGCCAAGTCCAAACAGCTGGAGTGGAACAGAGGGCAGAGGTAGCAAGGGAGGCTGAAACGCTTCAGTGACAGCTTCAGGGGCTGGCCACAGAGCCCTGGCAGGCATGCATTTGTTATTCACCAGAACCGGCTTCCCTCTCACAAAACAATGAATCCACTGTTGGCTGCCCAGAGACCTGATTAACATTTGCAAAGGGACAAAGTGGAAAATTCCACCTGTGTGGGTGGGAGCTAGACTCGGGGTATGTCCTCTCCAGGATAGATACAGCAGAGCTAACAGAGGTTATGGGTCCCAAGGGAATTTCCCCACTTGGGAATAAGGAGATAATTAAAACAAAACAAAACAAAACAACTGTTTTATATCCCCTGCTCTACATCTATGCATCCAATTTAAACCCTTCAACTTGCTTTCCCGACTCTGGTTTCTTCTGAGTTCCTTGCTGCCCCTGCTAGAGTGACAAAGCTGGCATCAGTTCCATGTCATAGGTACATGGGGAAACCCAGGCAGCAAGAGACCAATAGCTTTGGTCGTGGCCAAGAGACAGCAAGCGACTCTTGGAGTCTCGGCTGTAGGGGCAACACAAGCCTGGGTGGTGGACAAAGAAGTCTTCCCGCCTCTGGACCAAACTGTGAGCTCCCCCCGACACGATGGAAGAAGTCCAAAGCAGTCTTCCTTAGTGTGCAGAGTTAGGTGTGGCCTTGGAGGAAGGCAAGTGAGAATTCACCCTGGAACTTGATGGGCACACACTGAGCCCTTGGGCACAAAGATGTCTTACGCCCAGAGACTCTTGCAGACTTGCACACTGAGCCCGCGGCTAAAGGTGGTGCCAGGGAAGTCTCTAAAGAATGCTTGCTTCGGATCCCAGCCCCCTCTTCACTATCATGGCTCACTCACTTGGTTGTACAGGAAAGGAACCGGGGACTCTGAGAAAGAGAAGCAGCTTGCCGTACCTAAAGGAGAAGCCGCAGCTAAGCCCTCTCCACCTCCTTGGACCTGCCTGCCTCTGGCTATCAGGGGTTAGGCATCTAAGCAAATGGATCCTCCCAGGCGGATCATCTTAGAGACGGCATGTTCAGTCAGCTAGGCTTGTTGGAGGGTAGGGAGGGCCTGAGGGAGGAGAGAAAATTCCGATAGACAGGCGTGTCCCCAACTGTGACTGCAGGGCTCTGAGTATATTTCCAGTCACTGCCCACTCTGATGCCCTGTCCACAGGCCACGGTACCCACTCCTGCCCCAGAGTCAGGGCAGTGTCATCCCAGCCACGTCATCGCTGTCCTTTGGTGGGGAAACTGCGCAGGCTGTGTCAGGAGACTGGCTGGTACCCTCACCTGGGCATTCTCCCTTATCCAACCCCTCTTCCCCGCCATCGCCTCAGCCACTATTCCTCTCTCCCTTGCCACTAGATTCTTCTCCCAGAGAAGGAACCCGGCTAGCCGCCTGACCCCTTTCTCAAAAGTCAAACTATCCCAAACACATTATTCCAAGCCATTTCCTCAGGTTTGCGCACCTTCTCGGGTCAAGGTCAGGTAAGGCCACCCTGGGGTGTTCAGGTGACACTGAGAGTTCCTGTGCCAGATGAAGTGCCTCCTACCCACCTTTTAGGGTAGGAACAAAAGACCTTGGCTGCGATGCCTGGCTTCCCCATCAGCCTGGGAGCAGACAGCTGTAAGACAATGTTTACTAAAAACATGTTTACTGAAAACAATCCGTAAGAAATGTTTACCTGAGCAGGAGCATTAAGTTCCTGATAAAGGGTCACTCACAGGAACACCCTGACTTTGATCTTTCCAATGGCTAGCTGCCTCTTACACACACACACACACACACACACACACACACACACACACACACACACGCACGCACGCACGCACGCGCACACGCGCTGACTCTGGTGTCAGAGGCATATAACCAGCCAGGGATAAATAAGAAAAGGGAGATGAAGCATTTCTTGAGGGAAGCCTTTCTTGGGACGTTTTCTTGAGCCTCCCTGGGGCCTGCTTAAAGATTTCTTTGCACCACCAACTGGTCTCTGTGTCATCAATCCCGACACCCTCCGCACACTCTCGGACACAGGCGGCGCAGCAGGTGCGGCATTTTACCCCTCAAGGGCAAAGAAATGTCTGACTCACAGGCCCGTCCCTGGGCCTGAACCCCTCTATCCCTGCTGTCCCGAAGCCCTTGCCTTTCGCCCTGAGCTGAGCTTACTACAGCAGGGTGTTGTGCCAGGCCAGCGCCAAGGCTGGCCAGGGGTTGGCACTCAGCTGCTCACTGGATGAACACGTGCTGGCCTCAGCCGTGGCTCCACTCATCTGAGAACGAGTTGTTCCCCTACTTGATCTACACACACACACACACACACACACACACACACACACACACACACAGGCTGTTTTCCAAAACTGTGCACTGACTGTCACCTAAGCATCTGTCCCGTTCCTCATCCCCACGAGGCAAAGTTCTCAGACTGGAACTGGGAAGCAAGGCCTCCTCCTCTCTGCTTTTCCACCTTTGGCCTTGAATGTCCCTGTCACTGCACTCCTCTTCAGGCCAGGAGTTCGCCCTTCGCACCCTGGAGCTGGCAAGCGTTTACCGGTCAGCGAGGCCACCACCGTGAAAGCTAGTAATGTTCCCAGGGACTACTGGGCCCAAACAACTCACAAAAGCTAAGAAGGAAGGGAAGGGCCCAGGGTGGCCCAGTGCCAGGTGTGGGTGAGACTACAACTCCCTGCTGTGAACCTCCTCCTTGGTCAGGAATCCGAGCAACTCTCTTTGTCTCTGTGTCTCTCTGTATCTGTCCCTCTGTCTCTCTCAGGGAAACCATTCCCTTCCATTCCACAGAGGCTGGAAACTGGACCCATTCCACGTGGATCAAAAACAGAACCTTCACCCAAATCTCACAGGAAAACTGAGTCTATATCCCAGCAGGGCTTTAGCAAACACGGCTGCTTAACTAGCGGGGCTTGACAAGCAGGGCTTCTCCAGGTCCTCTGTCTACAAGTTTGGTAATCCCAGCCCTTAACCAACGCCCCATGGAGGGCTGCGTCCCGGGCTCCTTAGCTCTTTCTCTAACCCCAGTCCCCTCTCTCAAGCCACCTCCTCTCAGAAGGAAGGCTCGGGACCACCTTCCCACAGTTACGGGGTCTGGGAGGTGGAGAGCCGGCAGATCTCACTCAGGCAGCAGCCCCACCAAATAAATGTCAGAACCCCAGCTCTGAACCCGCAGTGCTGAGTGACACACCAGCTTCGGGGCTCCAGATGTAACCGCCAGACCTCCTTCTATAGAAAGACGCTTAACCAGAAAGCCTGAGCGGCCGGGGCTGGGGTGGGGGGTGGGGGTGGGAGATTCCTATCAAGATTACCTTGTAACTGTAAGTTCCTGTCTCTGGTTCCCTCAAAGAAGCCTAGGAGGTTTCGGTGGCTCGAGTTCCCTCCCCTTTTCTTTCTGGGACTCTTTCTGGGTAAAGGAGGCTCCAGGTCCTCCCGACCCATCCAGCCGAGGGCCCGAAGCTCACTACTCACCTGGGGGCAGCTCCGTACCTGGGCTAGGATGGTAGGCCGCCAAAGGGCACGAACCGGGCACACAGAGAAGGCGATGGCCGCCCGTCCTCGCCCGCTACGCTTTAACTGGCGCCCCAGAGCGTCGCGCGATGTCCTCGGGAAGGGCCGGGGCTGCTTGATAGGGCCCCGGGCGCGGGTGCGGTCGCCCCACCTAGCTTGCGGCACACACCTGTGCGCGGGGCTCGACTCGCGCCTGGGCTGCTGGAGCTGTTCCCGAGCTCCCCGGCCCGAGTCATTCGCACCCCGCCCACCCCCGCGAGCCCCGCGGGCGACAGGCAGGCCACTTTACGGTCCTGGGACAAGGCCAGCGCCCGCCCGGACTAGGGCAGGGAGGCGTTGTGGGAGGCGGAGCCCGGAGAGTGCTGCCGCGGGCGGGCGCCAGGATAAGAGGACCCTGGGCTGCCCGCCCCGGCTCCGCGTGGTGGTGGGCGGTGGCTGGGTCATGTTGCTGGTGTTGCTGAGCCTGGCTGCAATGTGCCGGAGCAGCGCTCTGCCCCGAGAGCCGGTGAGTCTCCTCCTCCTCTGTGAGCTACTTTTTCCCTTGCTCTCCCGTTCTTTTAGCTGAGTCCTGACCTACCTGCCAGTCCAAGTCTCTAGGAAACTGTCCATGGACCATGCCCTGGAAGGAGCCAGATTTGCACCCCTGAGATAACCACAGTCAGCCTAGCACTTTGATCACCCCTCTATTCCCAGCCTGGAGACGTGAGGTCTAGATCTGTCGCAGATGCCACCCTGGGCATTTGGGCTCATCCTGCCCTTCGTAGTCTCCTTAATAAAAGGGTGGTGCTCAACTCACACAGGTGGCTCGCCTCACTGCCTGGTTCACCACGATGACAGCACCACTCACACCTGTGCTGGCCCCCTGTTGGGTCACCAGAACACACCGCATTAAGATGCTATTCGCGCCGGGTTCCCACAGCACTCGCATCCCTGATGCCTGGGAAAGCCTAAGCTAGTATACGGTGTCCCGAGCCACCAGCTGCTCTCCTTGCTGTCTGTGCAAAAGAACAGCTGTCCCGGGAGCATTCGCTGAGGGCAACCGGGTGAACTGGGTGAAGGTCGCACTGTTGCTTGACTCTTCACTCTTAACTTTGTCTCGCTGCCCTTCAGCCAGATCCTAGGTCCTTGAGGGTGGCTCATTTGTTTAGAAAGAACGACACAAAGGACCATGGATGACTTCACCCGAACCAAACCTTGCCCTACCAAAACCTCCGTTTGCTGCCTTCACAGGGTTTTTGGAAATGAGGACACGGGGGTCCTAGAGTCCTTTGCATCTTGCCACTGAAGATTGCTGGCAACTAAAAAAGAAGAAAAATGTTTTAGACTCAATATACTATTCCCAAACCCTACCTTGATTATTTTTCCTTAGGTAAACTTCGAAGGGTTTATTTGATACTGGCCTTTCTTAGACACTGATGCGTTTTACCTTTTTGAAAGCTATTTTAGAAAGATGTGATGAAATCACAGTTGTCCCCGGCTTTGTAAGTAGCTCAGCTGAGTCCCAGATCAAGAAAGAAGTGTGAGGAGAGCGTGGGGGAGGCCCAGCAGGCTGCACCCATGGCTGCATGTGTTCTTCTCCTATTGCTCAGCCAAACGTTAACTCGGAGAAATCAATACATATTACACTGACCTGAAAACAAGCAGTTAAACATTAGTTAAGGGGCCTCACAATGACCGGCAGTGATCAAGGGAGGGAAGGTGTGTGTGTGTGTGTGTGTGTGTGTGTGTGTGTGTGTGTGCATGTTTGCATGCACACATGCTTGTGAACATATCCTCGGAAAACAGAGGTAACGGGTTCTGGAGCTGTCTGATGTGGGACCTAAGCGCACGTCCTCTGCAAGAATGGTATGCTGGGTTAGCTGTTGAGCCGTCTCTCCAGCTCCCAGCTCACCTTCCCTTTGAAAACTTGTCACCTGTGTGTGCATCTAAGGAAGACGATGGTGTTTTTTTCCCCCTAATTTGGCACAATAAGCGTTGTGGTTTGCTGGCTCAAATACATGACATTTGGTTTCTCTCTCTCCCGCAGACTATTCAGTGTGGCTCTGAGATCGGTAGGTTCATTAGAGGACGGGTATTTGGAAGAGCAGTTGGACATTAAGAGGGTCTGAATCAGGCGGTGGGGCACGGAAGACCAGGCACATGGTGACTCATTGCCTTGGTAGCTGATGGGACTGAGGGTGTCAAGAGGCAGAATTTTGGGAAGTAAGGATATGTTTGAGATGGGCTGGCCTCCCGGTGAATTAGCACTCAGGCAAAGTGGAACTCACCAAGCTAAATGGGAAGCAGCACCTGCCCCTCCACAGGGCCCCACTGGGTGTGGTGGGCGGGGCCACATCATCTATTGTTGGGACTAGGAAGCAAATGTTTCACACATAGGTACCCGAATGGGAGCCTTTGAAGGAAGACTGGGTTTGCCCCAGAAATGTGAATGGGAAGCATGAGTAGGAGGGGAGGGGGCAGAAAAGGTTAGCAGTTGAGAAGGCGGTCATGGTGAGGGCTAGCTGGCTGGAGTCCAGGGCTGAGGCGTGGAGAAAGCAGGACTGACATTAGTGGACATGTCAGATACCACACACACACACACACACACACACACACACACACACACACACACACACACACACACACACGAACCCGCACCCCAAGTGCTGTGTAGTTTAGAACCACAAGGCTGGGAGCGTGTGTCTAGGTAGTGTAAATTAGCCAGTATCCAGAAGTTTGGCTTTCTTAGCAGAAGTGACTTGTGATGGGATGGGACAGATCCCTCGGAGGGAGGAAATAACTTCTGACAGGGCCGGAGACTGGAGGGTCATAGGAAGTGTTCTTGCCTTCTCCTAGGGCCGTCTCCGGAGTGGATGGTCCAACACACTCTCACCCCGGGGGACTTGAGGGACCTCCGAGTGGAACTTGTTACGCAAAGCGTTTCGCCAGAGGATTTTTCCGTTCTGATGAACATAAGCTGGATCCTGCGGGCAGACGGTAAGTTTGCGTCCATCAAAGTACCCGCTCCACCAGAGATGTGGAGGATATAGGACCCACTCACTCCACTCCTACAGGACCCGCTCACTCCACTCCTACGCAGATACCACAGATGTGCGCACACTGAAAGCCACATCCTAGCATGTGTACAGTAGCACTGTTCAGAGCGGCATCCAGACGATCAAGAGCCTAAGAGAACCACACAGCTTTGGAACTCAACAATGGGAATTCTCTCCGTGTGGGTAGCAGTGTGGATGTCCAAGGAGCTATACAGTTGTGTCTGGAATCACGCCTACAGAGGCACACAGGAGAACAAAACTAAGCCAGAGGTTCAAAGCCAGGGTGAGGGTTTGGAGGGTGGCACTTGTTGGGGGTGTCTGTTCTTGGTTTCTGCCGGTTGTAAAAATGTGCAAAGTCACTGATGAGTTGTGCCATTCTGCGGTCATACTTCATGGAAGACACGATTCCCCTGGTTTAGGAAACGCTCTGGCTTAGGCTGTCTCCACTTCCCAAATGACACCATAAAAGTCCTGGCATTCCCTCCAGATTGTTCGGAAAACAACATGTAAATTCCTGAGACAGCCAGTCCCAGGACCCTTAAGCTTCCTGCTTGTGGTTTTTCACTTGCCAACGTCCAACTTGGTTTAGTTACGGGTCCACTTGTCCAGCACCTTGGTGACTGAAACAGGGAGATGGCTGCAAGTTTGAGACCAGGTTGGGGTATATACTGGATTCCAGGGACAGTGGGCTACAGGGTAAGATCTTGTCTCAAAACAAAAACAAAAAAAACAAAACCTCAAGGTGGTGGTGAGGAGAGCCAGGGGAAGGATCCGTTTATCTGGGAAAATGAGTTAGTGACAGGCTTCATCAGAACATTTTCCAGAGCAGTAGGAGAGGCAGCCACAAGCAGTGTCAAGGGATGCCCCAAAGGGAGCTGTGCTCTATGTGAGTGGGGTGGACCAGGGCCCCAGGAGACTCCTGTGAGATGCTACATAGGCTTTGCTCCATGTCATTGTGCGCTTTAAGGCGACCTTGGAAGGGTAGGGATAGAGAAAGGGACCCATGAGAAGGAAGGGTCTGCATGGATGTGGGCAGGCCCAGCAGTCATCGTCTGGTGCTGATGCTTGGGTAGTCTTTTCAGAAAAAAAGCAATCAAAGCTAAAGCCTGAAGTCTCTTCTAAACCAGAAATGTGTGGTGTACAGGAGCCACTCATTCCATTCCTAGGCACACCTAACAGAGGGACCCATAGGCATGCGCTGCGCTGGAAGGAAGTCCTAGCGTATGTGCAGACCCAGACCACCAAGCAATCGGTCACCTTCAAGAGACCTAGGAAGGGACATGTGGCCTCACTAACCACGGGCACTTTGTATGACTCAGGCCAACCTAGGAGGAGAAGGGCTCTTGGACTTTGGAACTTAGGTTTGCATCTACGGGTGACGAGCTGCCAAAGTTTAGGCGGGGTGCCCAAGACTCCCAGAGCACCGTTCACCCCGTCTCCACACTGGGTACCATGGTGCACACCCGCTGAGATGAAGCATCTAAGTCACAGAGTACTATGTGAGCCACGGGGACACCAATGAAACAGTGTCCCACTTAATTGTCTCCGCAGCCAGCATCCGCCTGTTGAAGGCCACCAAGATCTGTGTGACTGGCAAAGGCAACATGGACTCATACGACTGTGTGAGATGCAACTACACAGAGGCTTTCCAAAGCCAGACCAGGCCTTCTGGAGGGAAAGTAAGCACCTTGAGGGGCATGGCTGTCCTTGACAGCTGGGCTCTTTGCGTGGGAGCCATGAATAACCAGCCTCAGAAATGCCTGATGATACAGAGCAAGATGCCTGCCTGAGTGTAAATGCCACTTGTCTGCCCAGTGCCTGGGGACGTCAGCATCTTTGAGTCAGTGTCTAACAAACAGAGCTAGACTTAAATTATATCCTGGCTCTAAAATGCCACTCCTCTCTGATTCTGAGTTATATCAGCAAATTTGGCCGGGCCCATTCCCTACACAGACACTGGCCAGAGATCTGTTTCAGCTGGAGCATAGAGATTAATGGTAAATGAAAAGGGGGGCTGTCAAGCGTGACAACCTAAATTCAGTCCCTAGGACACACATGGTAGAGAGAACACATACTTCAGGATGTCCTGACCTGCGTGAGCGCGCGCGCGCGCACACACACACACACACACACACACACACACACTCACACACACACACACTGTGGCATGATCCCCCATTAGTGTACACACACACATCACACTCAAACATACACCGTGATATGACCCCACACTAGCACACACGCACAGACACATACACTGTGGCATGATCCATCCACTAGTGTACACACACACACACACTGTGGTATGACGCCCCACTAGCGTGCACACACACACACATACACATGTGCACACACACTCAAAAACACACTATGGTATGATGCCCCACTAGCACGCGTGCGCGCGCGCACACACACACACACGCAAGCACACACGTGCACGCACACACACACTCTACATAAACGTGAACAGGGTTACAAATGAAAGCAGCCCCGCACAGCAGCTCTGACCTTGCGGTGGACACTTGCCTGGCTTTGCTTTGCAGTGGGCCTTCTCCTACGCAGGCTTTCCCGTGGAGCTGAGCACACTCTACTTCATCGGGGCCCATAACATCCCCAATGCTAATATGAATGAGGACAGCCCTTCTTTGTCCGTGAACTTCACCTCTCCAGGTAAACTTCCTCGCCTCTGTGGTTATTCTGTCTTACTGTCTTTCCTGTGTTACGGCATGCAGTCTGGCAGAACCCTTTGAAGCTGTCAGGTTTCCTCATCTGCAGACATAGCACTAACCACTCCGGTGGAGAGGGTTAGGGTTAGGTAAGTGTGGGGAAAGCATGTTCCCGGGTGCCGATCGGGATGCAGACTGTGCCATCTCTCCAAGCACTTGCTCTGGGCCGCCCATCCACGCAGCAGTGGTGACGCCCGCCTCTGCTCCTCTGTGGTTGGTATCTCCAGGCCTCTAGGGCAGCTTTGTTGTGTGGGACTTCCAGCTTTCCTGACAACACCAAAGCTCACTGGGATTTTCTAAAGTGAGTTTTATTTGGGGGTGGCTTTAGAAGAGCTGCGAAAGTTGACAAAGTTTCCGCGTCGCTCTCAGCTCCCCTGGTGGTCAGCACCTGGTTTTCAGGGAATACATATATCAACTAGGATGATAATTCTGACATTATTTCTGACAACTAAACACCGGGCTTCGGGGATTTCAGCTGCTTATCCATTACATTTTCCTCCTGTTCCAAGACACTTGGCCTTTTATGCTACCTCAGCCTCCTCTGGTCATTATATTTTATGACCCTGTCAAACATCATATAGATTGTCACCAATTTGACTTTGATGTTTGCTTCATATGTAGGTCAGGAATCTGAGATTTGGGTATGAATCCCACAGGAGGCATTGAGACCTCCTTACTTTGTCCTATCTGGGGTGTGTGACATTGTTAGTGAGGGTCATGCCCACCAGGCATCTGGGTACCCACCACCTAGAGCTTCATGTCTGGAAGAGGTAGAAACTACATGTATTATCAACTCACACTTTTTGGTTTCCAAGTCACTTTTGGTGACCGTTTTGATAAAGGCTGTACTTAAATATTAAGACTACAGCTTCCATGAGTGAATGATTTTGTATAACTGTAAAATAGTACTGTCCTGTTTAGATTCTCTGTTCAGATATGAGAGACAGTGGCAGGAGTGCAGGGGGGAGAGGGAGAGAGGGAGGTGTGTGTGTGTGTGTGTGTGTGTGTGTGTGTGTGTGTGTGTGTACTGGGCAAGGGGCCAATACTAAGAAATACTTTTTACTCAAATGTAACAATGTTCATTCAAATCCCCAGGCTGCCTGAACCATGTAATGAAATATAAAAAGCAGTGCGTTGAGACTGGTAAGTAGATGTAGCATTCTGTTTTTGTCATTTGGAGATGGTCCTCCCTGGGACCCATGAAGCTCCATTCAGCCTCAGACAGATAAGGGGCTGAGATGTAGGGACGGGGAATTCTCTGCCCAAGCCACTCAGTGAAGGAGCTGCTTTGGGCTATGCAGCTATCCAGACTGGAATAGACATCTTAGGTTTACATAGCACAGCAACAGCCACAGGAAACTACCCCTGCCCCTTGGCTGAACCAACGCTGTATCCCGAATCCCACTTAGCAGCAGTGTCCTTGGAAAGCTGTTTTGTGATTGGAGGGGAGTCCCATTCGCCTTTACCCCTGCTGGTCACTGGAGGCTCTGGGTACCTTCTGTTTGGATTAACAAACAGGGCCAGTGTTTGCCAAGCTAAGGCCCTGGAGACCTTGAAGGACTACCTCCTCTATGGTAGACTCTTTTGAGTTGTGAAGGGGCTACTTTAGGATGGTCAGTCCCTTGTTCCAACTTCTAAGGGTGAGTATAAACTTCAGGACAGTAAAGTCTTGAGATGCTAGTGAGGTTAGTGATATGGGGTGTGTGTGTCTTTCCTCCCACCAAGAAAGCACTCTAAAAGAATTTTGCGTCTCTAGGGGTGTGAGGTCCAAGACCTAAAATGCATCTTCCAATTCACTCCTAGAACCAGCTCCCAGTCAGGGGCTGAACCAGTGGTCCCATCAGCAGGGAAGTTACCTGTGCTAGCATTGTATATACATGCTAACATTATATATACATGTTCCTGGAGATTTGCCCAGTCTTATTTGCAAGACACATGAGTGAGACAACTGACTTTTCGACGGTTGATCTGCTAGGGATTCTCGTGTGACATTTCCTTCCGTGACATTTCCTTCCTTCCTTTGTAGCCACTAAAGCTGGCTGCCTGTCCTTGCGCTAAGTTCTGAGCCTCAGTTCACTTAACTCCGTGTTTTGGGGCACACTCCTAACGTGAGGCTCTTCCTCCACCTGACAAAGGAGAAAACAGCAGTCCTAGGTCTCTTACCTCAAAATGTAGGGTGAGCATTGAACTGAATTGTAGACTATGATCTGTACCTACCTCTTCCTGTTCAAGGAAGCTATTTTTAGCAAAGTAAATGGCATTTGCGGGAGGGGGTATGTGTGTCCCTAAACTTTCTTGGACACCAGGTACTTTGTAATTCTGGGAACATTGTTGGAAGATACATTAGAATTCCTGTCTCTTAGGTGTGGGCCTAAGGATTTAGATTTGTGTCTGTAAAGCCCCTCGTTGGGGATTCAGATAAGGGAGGAGTTATCGGGTTACCCATGTGGCTCTCTCTCAATTTGTAGGAAGCCTGTGGGACCCAAATATCACAGCTTGTAAGAAGAATGAGACGACGGTTGAAGTGAATTTCACAACCAATCCCCTTGTAAATTCATACGAGGTTTTCATTCTACAGGACATGGAGATGATACTGGGTTATACTCGAGTGCTAGAGGTACTTCCCCTTCATCCCCTTAACACCACCCATCCCCAACCTTAGCTTCAGCATCTTGAAGTACAGACACTTTAGAATCACCTGAATAGGTTTTCTTTCCAGAGAGCCCAGAGCTAGCTGTTGTCCAAGCAGGCTAGGCTACTTTGATTAATGGAGCAGAAACAAGTCCCGTTAGGCACCCTGGAGACGATGAATCTAAAACCAACTGAAGACAAGTTCTAGGGTTCTCAAGTGAGTCCCGATCCACAGTCTGATGCGTCAAAGTCAGTTAGGGGCAGGGGCTCGTCACCGACGGTCTGTCTACTCACTCCTGACTCCTAGCTCTTGACTGTGTTTCGCTTCTCTGCACCAGAATAAACCGACACGGACATCTGTAGCCGTTCTGGTGAGCGGGGAGAGTGACAGTGCAGTGGTCCAGGTAAGTTAGACAGTCTGGAAAGGGAGGGACACTAGAGAACTGTCTGCCTCACCACAGAGACTGCTCGTGTTCGTGTTCATGGGATGCTAGAGACTGAGCCTACAATGTCTTGAATTCTAAGTAAGTGTTCGCCAACTGATACACACTAGTCCTCTGAATGCATGCTGAGGATGACAAGTCTCATCCCCATCAAGCTGGGTTACCAGGGTCTTCTTAGTGGTCTACAGTGGTGAGACCACAACATTGACTCCACAGTTGCAGCCCCCTTTGCTTGGATTAGGGGCTGTTGCCATCCCACAGTGTTTTTTTTTTAATATTTTATTTATTTATTATACAATCTTCTGCATGCCAGCAGAGGACACCAGATCTCATTCAAGGTGGTTGTGAGCCACATGTGGTTGCTGGGAATTGAACTCAGATCCTCTGGAAGAACAGTCAGTGCTCTTAACCGCTGAGCCATCTCTCCAGCTCCATCCCACAGTGTTCTTATTTCTAGTTTCTATCGTGGATCCTCAGACTGAGACAGGACAGTCGGTTTGCTTCCCCAAAGCCTTAGTTTTCATTGAAAAGTGAAGCTGCAGGCTGGAAGCAGGCAGTGTCTGAACTTAGGAGAGCAACCGTTTGTCTTGCGGGGGCCTCGGGCGGCCGAGGTGGAAGCACGAAGGTGGAACAGTGGGTGCTCTCTGTCGTTCACAGCACGGGCACACAGAGGGTCGCAGCACAACACAACCACACCCAAGAGCCATTCCCCACTCCCTGGGACATGAAGTGCTCGGGATGGGCACGAGAGCAGACCCTGGCACCACGGCACCTTTCAGGAGTCACAGACTTCCCCAGTGCCAGGGAGCTCACCTACAGCTGTCCCAGGGAAAGATTTGTATGCTTACTAGGATGTAGCCACCCCTTTAGATAAGGAAAACACCCTGTTAGTAACATGCACAAAGTTCAAGGGCATTGCAGGTATTTTGGTCTGGAGTCATCAGACTGGATTTGTGGGCTACAGAAATGTAAACGAGGAGAAAATTGTTGATGACCATGCCAAGAGGTGAAAGCATTAAAAAAAAAAGTAGGAAGGAAGGAAGGTTATGTTGAAGTGGGGACACTGATGTGTCCCTCTCCTTTTCCTCAGCTGGCTCCGCATTTCCCGGCCTGTGGCTATGACTGCATCAGACGCGAAGAAAAAGTTGTACTTTGTCCAGAGACAAGCGCCCCCTTCCCTCCAGATAACAGTAAGTCCCAGTCATACCACAGGGCCCTCAGAGAGGACAGGGCCACACAGGGCCCTCAGAGATGTAACAGGCTACACTGTGTCTGTGGGGAGCGTTCAGAGGCCCCTGCCAGTGTCCCATGAACTGGTGTGACTGAACAAAGCCTGTGCTACTTCAGAGATCTCATGACCAAGTAAGAAAAAAAGGCTTGCTTTATGAAGACACTACCTTTCCAATAGCAGGATATGCAAAGGGGGAGAGGGCAGGGAAATGGTTGGTTTAAAGTTCCACAAGGCTGCGGAAAGAGCTGCTGGGAATAAAGGACTAGTGTGAGCAGGGGCTGGGTCCATGAAGGAGGGTGCATTTCAAGGTATTCCAGTTCTCTCTGAATCTTATTTGGTTAACAAATCAGAAATACTGTCACCAAAAGAGGGTTCCCTGGAGCCTGAAAGCACGTTCTGGAAAATGTCTCTGCAATTAGAGATACGTCAATTCTTTTTACTAACAAATAAAACGTTGTGGAATTAGAGCATGGGTGGGACCAAAAGACAAAACACAGCCAAAGAAGCTTTTGGATAGTTGCAGCCCAGAACCCTGACTTCGGGAGGGCACACTGCTGTGTGTTCATTATGTATGTAAGTTCATCCCGAGGAAGAAAGCGTCTTCAAACTCTGGTTGCCACAGTGAAAATGCTTATGCACTTGAGGAACAGAAACCTGAGTCTGGAGAATGTCCCCTAATTCCCTGTGGAGAATCTAGGCAGAGGGCTGGCGAGGTCACTCAGTGAGTAGAGTCGCTTACTATAAAGGTATTACAACCTGGATCCCTGGAACCCACGGTGAAAGGAGACCAGATTCCCTGAAGATCTAGCCCTTGGTTTGAAAAGTTCTAAACTTGCACCAAGGATAGTCAAAAGTCCGTTCACAAGCAGAGGACAATGTAGCACTGCTTGCTAAGGGTGACTGAGCTGTTTCCTGCAGACAGGAGCATGCTGGGAGGCTGGCTGCCACTCGTCCTGGTGCTGCTGGCGGCCACATGGGTGCTGGCGCTTGGAATCTACCTAACTTGGAAGCAAGGTAAGGGTGGTCACTCTGAGGTCCTCCCCATCTGTTCTGCCTGGCACAGAACAAGAAATATAACTGCGTGTGGCAGCACAGAAGCCCTCGGAAGGAAGAGGGAGGGAGACCAGGAGTTCAAGGACATCCTCAATTAACTACTGTTCAAGGCCAGCTTACGATACATGAGAACCTGTCTCAGAAAACCATACAGGACCTACCTGTTAGTGTACCCTGTGAGCAGCTGCTTCTATGTCGGGGCAGAATATTAACTCCACGCTTTAATCTAAGAAAGCTACATGAACTCTCCGGAATACTTGCATCTGGGGGATGCTGTGTTAGCTAGAGCTGCAGTAGCTTTGCACAGCCAGTCTTGTTGCACGGCACGGTGTGGGGCTTAACTTTACAGCGACATACAGAAACTCTACCGCCCGCAGGTAGAAAACGGTACAAACCATAGTGCCGACATGACAGGTAGAGTCACATCTGTGTCAAGGTAGTTTTAACAGCTTGCTTCAAACCCGGTGTCCTCAAGCCGACACGGCTGCTGGGAGTTTATCTGAAAAACTAGAGGGCTTCACTATGAAGACTCATTTATCGATGGGGGCTGCTATTCCCCTTGCGGGAACACTTCCTGGTCCTGACTGGCATTCTCGTGTGGGGTCAGGCATCAGTGATGGTGTAGACTACTGTAAAGGCCTGCTGTTTGCTATTCAACTAACAAGGTGCACTCCCGCCCCCAGGAAGGAGCACGGAGACTTCCTTCCCTACTACCAACACGCTCCTGCCCCTCATCAAGGTCCTGGTGGTCTACCCATCCGACACATGCTTTCACCACACTGTCTGCGGCTTCACTGACTTCCTTCAGAGCCACTGCAGAAGTGAGGTCATCCTTGGAAACTGGCAGACGAGGAGAATAGCCGAGATGGGCCCCGTGCAGTGGCTCACCACTCAGAAGCAAGCAGCGGACAAAGTGGTCTTCCTGCTTTCCAGCGACGGCCACGGTCTTTGTGACAGCGCCTGTGGCCAGCACGCGGGCAGCGCCATGGAGAACTCTCAGGACCTGTTCCCTCTTGCCTTTAATCTTTTTTGTAGCGATTTCAGCGCCCGGGCTCCTCTGCACAAATACCTGGTGGTCTGTCTTGGGGGAGCTGACATCAAGGGCGACTATAGTGCTCTGAGTGTCTGCCCCCAGTATCGCCTCATGAAGGACGCTGCTGCTTTTCACACAGAGCTTCTCAGGGTCACACAAAACACGTCAATGAAGAAACGGTCACAAGCCTGCCATGGCAGCTAGGTCACCCAGGAGAGAAGAGACCCCGAAGCCCTCCTACTCCACCAATTTCTAGTCACAAAAAGCTGTGATGACCTGAGGCTGAGTGTAGGAAGTACTACATTACAGAACTTGCTGTAGATCTGGAGTGTGCAGAGTCGGAACTCGAGCAAACATGCCTGAGGCTAGCCACTAGCAGGTTTTATGCATATAATACAGTTACAGACATTAATGAATAGAAGCTAAATCTACAAAACTCAATCACATTTATACCCAACACCCAGTAATGGCCGTCACTGGAAACTAAGCACTCTGGAAATGAAGTAATGAGGGACTTCCCGGTTAGGTGTCCAGTCTTGCAGTGCCCATGCTCTGTGCTGCAGGCAGGACTGTTTAGCCCTGTAACATTCTAATATAGTAATGAATAATGTGAGAAGCACTCACTAATTCAGTAGCTTCCTAAGAGAAAAAGCCAAATACACACACAAGCTGGACACATCCAGTATACGTGTACTGTAGGACCCACTACACTGTTTGCTATCTGTATAGCCCGTTCCCTTGCCAAACTTCTCAACAGGCAGCCTTTATTTTTATCACAGAGGTGATACCCAGGCTGTTGTACAGGTACTGAACCCAGGCTGCTGTACAGGCTGGACAAATGCTCTGCACTCACAGGCATCCCAACCTCTCACAGGTGACTTTCCAATAAATACCAAGACACTTCACAGCCAGTTGAGGCAGCGCACACCTTTAATCACAGCACTCAAGAGGCAGAGGCAGGAGGACTTCTAAGTTCGAGGCCAGCCAGAGACACATAGCGAGACTGTCCCAAATAAAAACACGTTATCTATAAACCTGGTATCTACTTTTGCCCAGCTACCCATCCACTGTTCTAGCTCCCAGAGTTCATGGTTATTACATGTTTCCTGTAATCAAGCCAAAACTGATTGACTGAACCTCTCAAAGTATCTTTTTATAATCCATTATTTAAAAAACCACTAACAGCTGGAGAGATGGCTCAGAGGTATAGAGCACTGATTGTACTTCCACAGGACCTAGGTTCAATTCCCAGCACCCACAACAGCAGCTCACAACTGTAACTCCAGTTCCAGAGGATCCAACACTGGTTTCTATAAATATATATATTTATGTATGAGGGTTTTGTTTGCCTGTGTGTCTGTGTACCACATGAATGCTTGGTGCCTGAGGTCAGAAGAGGGTGGTAGATCGCCTGGAACTGCAGTTATGGACGAGTGTGAGCCACCGTGTGGATGCTGGGAATCAAACCAGGGTCTTCTGTAAGAATAAACGCTCCTCACTACTGAGCTCTCTCTCTACACCCCCAATGTAAATAAATCTTAAGTTTTCAAAGACACCAAAAAAATGGAACAAGAAGTAATAGTTCACGGATTTATAACATCTTGAGTCTTTTAGTGCTTGACGTTCTTGAAGCAGCTTTTTCTTAATGTAGAAACCATAGAAATGTATATATATTAGCATATGTATTTGCTTATTAAGGCTTCGCACAGCACAATAAATCTGTTTTGTAATGTGATCCAGTTTCAGGTAGTTGACTGTTAAAATGTTTGTAACTAGAGGCTGGGTGTGGTGGCACATGCCTTTAGGTCTCAGGGCTTAGAGGCAGAAAAATCTGAGTTCAAGGTCAGGCTGGTCTACATAGTTCCAGAGCAGCTTTTAAAAAATACTTTAATTCTGTGTAGGTATGTGTGTCTGCACATGCATAAGTGTCCACTCAGAAGGAGCCAAAGGCATCACATCCCTAGAGCTGGAGTTAGATGGCTGCGGGCTGCCTGGCGTGTGCTGGGAACTGAACTCAGGTCTTCTGGAAGAACAGCGAGTGCTCTTGACACTAGCTGTGTCTCCAGCCCTTGAGCGTACCTTTTCAGTCACAGTCTCTGGGGGACTCAGGCAGAACTGTGAGTTCCAGGCTAAAGGGTAAGACTCTTGTCTCAAAGTTTGTAACTGCATATTATCCTCAAAGGTCATGTTTTGGGGTTATGGCTTAGTGGCAGAAAATTTGCATATGATGACAAGGGCCTGGGTTCAGTCTACAGCAATGTAAAAAGAAAAAAAAAAAAGAGCCAACGTAAAAGGCCACATCATGCTTTCTAACACATGTCTTATGAATAAAATAAAGACCAAAAGATGGATGGCGTGCAAACTCCCTGCAGCCAGCTTCTCAAGCCGATACTCGGTTGGCTGATGGCTGAGGCAGTGCCTGGTGTGGCCAGGCTCAGTTACTTGGTGAGAGCGCTGCCAGATGTCCTACAGACAAGCTGATAAGAGAAGATGGATATAGCTTGTGTCACAACTGACTTCTCCCAGTCAACATCTTAAGTGACACGTGGAGAATGATGACAACTGACACATATACTTCTTAGAAGCATGGGGCCCAGAAACATAAAATCACATTCCCTAAGTTAGTGAAAAACATAAAACGACATATAATGCTCAAACCTTAAAGTATATATCCAAACAGTATTACCAGGTTAACCCCTTGTTTTATCAGCAGACTCCTCTCGGTCCCGACCTCCACCATGGACCCCTCTTGGTCCTGACCTCCACCATGGACCCCTCTCGGTCCCGACCTCCACCATGGACCCCTCTCGGTCCTGACCTCCACCATGGACTCCTCTCGGTCCTGACCTCCACCATGGACCCCTCTCGGTCCTAACCACCACCATGGACCCCTCTCGGTCCCGACCTCCACCATGGACCCCTCTCGGTCCTAACCTCCACCATGGACCCCTCTCGGTCCTGACCTCTACCATGGACCCCTCTCGGTCCCGACCTCTACCATGGACCCCTCTTGGTCCTGACCTCTACCATGGACCCCTCTTGGTCCTAACCACCACCATGGACCCCTCTTGGTCCTGACCTCCACTATGGACCCCTCCTCTTGGTCCTGACCACCGGGCTTTACCTGGCGACCCTTATGCAGTCCCAGCAGTTCCCCCATTGCATGCGAATCTCCGGGTCTCATCTGTTCCTACCTTTATCTATCTACCGGTCCTCCCCAAGCTAATTCTAGTGACAGAGACAGCAGGAGCAGTCACCTAACAGCAGGCTTAAGCAATTGTGCTCTGCCTTCCTTGTGACAGAGTCAGGCAGTGCTCCCTGACCTGCCCTCGTCGACACCATGTTCTTTCTTTCCCTTAGGGCAGCTCAGAGGCTTCCAGAGTCCAGACTACAAGTGGTACAGCGGGCCACATTAAGTTCAACTTTTCTCCACGATGTTCACAGGTCAAAGTCAGCTGATCATGCTGAACTCCAAAAGCGTTTATTTGGTTCTCCAGGAAAAGGGAAACAAGAGGCTTAAAGATGAAGTCAGTTATGAATTACAGCAGCCACCTGCTTTACTTGTACAGCATGGGCTAACGACTCTAAATTATTTTTGTTTTTATGAGGGGGACTCTTTGTGTAGTCTTGGCTGTCCTGGAACTTTCTCTGTAGATCAGGCTGGCCTCGAACTCATGGAGATCGGCCTGCCTCTGCCTCCCGAAGGCTGGGATTAAAGGTGTTCTAAATTATTCTTTTTTTTTTTTTTTTTTTTTTTTTGGTTTTTTCGAGACAGGGTTTCTCTGTGGCTTTGGAGGCTGTCCTGGAATTAGCTCTTGTAGACCAGGCTGGCCTCGAAATCACAGAGATCCGCCTGCCTCTGCCTCCCGAGTGCTGGGATTAAAGGCGTGCACCACCAACGCCCGGCCCTAAATTATTCTTAAATCTTACCTACTTAGCTTTAGGATGGGAACAAGGTTTCCTTTTCAGGTACTGTGTTGTTCCTTTCTCTAAGCCTACAAGAAACAGAGTAACAAACCCAGCCAGCTTGCCTTTAAATCCTTGCCTCAGGAAACCTAGCTCTGAACTGGTACTTTGTAAATCGAACTTTGTTAACAAACAAACAAACAAACAAAAAACCGAAATGTTGTAATCAAACTGGCCGCACCAGGATAGAAGGCCTACAGCAAGGTTTCCCATCAGGGAGGGGCAGGATGAGGTGGAACAAGGTGGCAGTCTAAAACCTTGAGGAAAGGCTAAGAGAGTGAGTTTACATTTGTTTGCAATTATAACTTCAAATCAGTGTCGTACTTTAACATAAAGTTGAATTCATTTAATTCTAGGAAAATCAAGCTTAAAGTCAATAAATTAAAATACATATATTCTTTACGTATTTATGTCCACAGACTTGGATTTGGTCTTCACCACACGAAAGCAGCCCGCTCCCGTAACATTCGGACACCAAAGCGCTGCCATTCTCGCTGGTAAATCCACAGTTCCTGAGTGGTGTCTAAGCATGCCAACACTGCCCCTCCTTTCCATGCAATCAGCCGGGGATCCATGTCCTGACAAAAGAGAAAGCTATTTCAGCAAAGGCAGAAAGACACAGGACATCATTTTCTGCAGGTGGGGTTGGAGCCCCCTGCTCAGTCAATAGCAAACAAATCAGGTTTTACGTATGTGTGAAACCACAGAAAACTGGCTGGGGTGGCCCTCAGCTGTGAAGCACCTGCCTAACATGTACAAGGTTCTGGGTTCAATTCCCAGCACCATATCCACCAGTACAGAAGATTGAACTGACAAACACACCCATCTCTGCCACAGCTGATGAGAATTTCTCAACTTTTAATACTGAAGATGCCACTCTCCACTCTTCCACAAACAAGCTCTGTAGGCAGGCACATGAAGAACCTCCACGACCCCTCCCTCCAAGGAAAACCTATCAGAGCACTGCCAGGGGTTCCAGATACACACAGGACCTATTTCTACACTCCCAGATTTTGTTTCTTCTCAAAGAGTTCAAGCCAAAGAGAGTTCTTTGAAGATCTCCAGTCCAAGGACCACAAAAAGCTCCTGACTATGATGAGAGAGAGAGAGGCAGAGACAGACAGACAGAGAGAGAGAGAGAGACAAAGACAGAGAGAGAGAGAGAGAGAGAGAGGGAGGGAGAGAGAGAAAGAAGAGCAGTCTGGCCAGGGCAAGAGAGAACCAACAACCTTATGACCACCTACAAAGCCAAGTAGAGCAGAGACCAAAAAAAGAGAGCCAGTCTCAATGCCATACATGCCAAAAACCCAAATCAGGGCTAGAGATGGCTCAGGGGTCGTTAACCACCCTTCCAGAAGATCCAGGTTCGGTTCCCAGCACCTACATGCCAGAAACATAACCATCTATAACTTCATTTCCAGGTGATCTGAACTCTTCTGGCCTCTACAGGCACCATGTACACATATGAGCACATACATACACGGGAGACAAAATAATTAAACGCGTAACATAAAATCAATCTTAAAAAACAAAAACACCATATTTGTGACCCTCTGAAAAGTGATTTTTTTTTTTATTTCTCCAAGTCCTCAAAACTCCCCAGCCACAAGCCAGCGCCTCCCTAGACTTCACCCTCCGCATGCATTGTAATCAGACGTAACCAGGACTGGAGTACCGTCCAACCTGCACTATGAAACAACACACCTTAGGTCGTGTGACCACGTCCACATTTTCAATAATTCTCCGGAATGAGGGTGGCATCTTGTTGAGGATTCGGTGCTGGAGGAACTCTTGAGCTTTGTGAAACATCAAACCGCCTCCCACAACCAGGATAGAGCTGTACATCTTCTTCTTGGTGTCATCGGATGCTGGAAAGACAGGGATATCACACCACTCACCCACCTGGGCAGCCAAGCCACTGTCTGTCCCCTGGACAACCAACAGCCTCAAGGATGTCCTCCCAAATCCATCTTCACTGTCTGTCCCCTGGACAACCTAACAGCCTCAAGGATGTCCTCCCAAATCCATCTTCACTGTCTGTCCCCTGGACAACCAACAGCCTCAAGGGTCTCCTCCCAAATCCATCTTCAACGCTGTAGACGGGACCTGCTGCTTACCTCCCACCCACGGTGGGTGCCTAGGACGAGAAACAAACGTTTCAAGGCCGCCTGTGGGGGTGCCACTGTGGTGTGGAGCCTGGACTGCCTCTAGCCTTATTCTGGCTAACCTCGTTGATTTTGCGGGCTTCATCAGCCCAGAATACCTCCAATCATCCCTCACATCTCTCATAGGATTCAAGAAAGCCACCCCTTACTCCTCCAGAGAAGGACAAATTTTTACTACATGTCTCAATCCGAGACTCAGCTGGGACTTTGTAGCTCAACCCTAGCACCTACTAGAGTTGGGATTTCCTGGTCTGTGTGACAGTCCTCATCATTAGCACTAGACTACGTGGCAGGAAGTGCTGGGGGCCCAGAGACCAGCGGCGCTGCGTTACTGTGCTCCCAGCACCTGGCAAGGCAAGGGTGGAGTAGACTGGATGGTTTTGAGAGAAAATGCTGTCCTGCATCAAGACTGAGCCGTCACTGATGCCAGCCTACTTTACTGTCTTCCGGCACTCGGGGCACACTTACAGCAGCAGTCCACGCTGTGCAGGATGGCCTTGTCCAGGCCCAGGGCTTTTCCTTCAAACAGCGAGGTGGCAGTTTTCCTGGACATCAGGGCCGTGAGGGCCTCCTCAGAGTCATTGCCAGCCATCAAACAGTCTCC